CTACTACTACTACTACTACTACTACTACTGCTGGTACTGATACTACTACCACTACTACTACTACTACTACTACTACTACTACTGCTGCTACTGCTACTACGACTACTACTACTACTACTACTACTACTACTACTACTAGCAATATACCATGATAAACGTATGTATATATATATATTGATTTATCTGTTTATTTATTTGTTCTTGTCTATTTATACATATGTAAGAGTAATGATGCTACCACGGCTACTTCAAGCAAATCGAGGCAGCCGGACTTAGATCCGTGAGCTCCGTGCGCACAGCGGCCTCTATGCCGGTGGCCTGCAGCCGGGGTCTGAGTCAGGGTTTAGGGTTCAGGGTTCAGGGTTTCGGATTTTGGGGTTTAAAGTTTAGGGTTTAAGGGCTTAGGGGTTCAGGGTTTAGGGGTTTAGGGTTTAGGGTTTAGGGGTGACTGGCTTGTGCATTTGATGGCATCCACACTGCTTTACAACAAGATGGGCCCTTATCAGGTCATCGTCGACATCCACTGTTTGCTAGGGTACACAGGGGCCGCTTCCGCAGCTGTGGGCCCAAAGCGACTTGGTGTCCCCGCAAGTGGGTCCCTGAGCTCAGTAGCCATGTCGACCCTCCAGCTGATGCGCCGCCTGGGACTTTCGGAAACGCAGACGGAGGCACTCAGCAATTGGCACAGGGAACGCAAGATGCAGAGTCAGCACCAGAGCTCCCGAAGCGCTCTTAACCCTAAACCCTAAACCCTAAAGCCGTAGTTTCGGAGGAGGCCTGGGCTGTCCTGCAGAAGGAGAAACTGGAGACTGTGGATGCACTCCGCCACATCTGGTCACACACCAGCGACGGCCGCTGGCAGAGCCCTGGCTTCATCAACAGCGACAAAATGCCAACAGCATCGGCAGCAGCAGCAACCACGACATTAGCTTCAACGATTCCTCCCTCTCCTCCTCTCCCTCCTCCAAGAAGACCGCTTATAAGAATGACAGCTAGGTATGATGTTCGGTAGAGGCAGTAGCAGTGGTAGAGGCGAAAGTACGAGTCAGCATTGGGTGCCAGCGGCTGGTCATCGTGGACAGCGGCACCCTAAACCCTAAACCCTAAACCCTAAACCCTAAACCCTAAACCCTAAACCCTAAACCCTAAACCCCAAGGTAGTGGTAGGGGTAGTAGTGACAGCGGTATGGATAATAAATCATAACAGTAGCACCCGAAAAATCGGAAGCCGAGGGCCTTGTCTCTGGACAGCAATGTGAAGGATGACTTGATGTTTGGAGCCAAGTTGCAGGGAGGGACTGAGGGTTTAGGGTTTAGGGTTTAGGGTTTAGGGTTGATGTTTGGAGCCAAGTTGCAGGGAGGGACGCTTTAAACCCTAAACCCTAAACCCTAAACCCTAACTGACAAAGATTTGGCTGTGACGAGTGATTTGTCCGGTAGTGGGCCGTTTGGTTGTGGGCTTTGGGAAATGCTGGTTTAGGGTTCAGGGTTTAGGGTTTAGGGTTCAGCTTTCCACCCAGGAGCATTCCATATCGAAATGCCAGTTTTTGCTTATCTTCCCAGTTTTTGCTTATCTTCCCCAGGTCTTATTTTGAGTCGGAGATGGGTGTCAGCTATGGCAAGATGCAGGCTTGGTTTTGCTGGGCGTGACTCTGTGCTATTCTGTGTGCACTTTACTGGGTTGTTGCATCTTGCCAGGTGCCGCCGAAAGAGCTCTGCATTGCTGCAGGCGCGACTTGAGAGTGGGGACTGTGGAGGAAGCCCCTAGAGCCTCGACATCTTGAGGCCCCGAACCCAGCACGAAATACATGGTTACGAAGCGCCGCAGCCAGTAAGAAGCCCTGACACTCAAATCAGCTTCGCGGTGGAGGCCCGGCGTTTGCGATCAGCACCCGGGGAGGGCAAGCCGTGGGTGTCTTCCGCAAGACGCAATGAGCGAGACACATCTGGTGTGTCACTGTAAGGCAGGGGCCGGCATCAATTCGCATGTATAGTCTAGTAAAGTAGATTAAAGTATAGTCATGGCTATAGTAGTGTATTAAGTTATAGTATATAATGCCATTTCATATTACAGTATATCCTGTTGCGCAGTACTTCAGCAAAGTTTAGCTTTTCGAAAACAGGCCTGCAGCTATCATTAAACTTAGGGACTCGCTTCGCCCCGAGCCAACCCGCCGGCAAGAGGACGGCTTGTAAATAGTTTAGTCAAGCCAGATGGTCTTGGCATTCCGAGACGGCATCTTGTGAGACAGCGATTTCTCAACACTTGCACCTAAGTTCCGGTCAGTTGTGGCCAGTAGATTGGTCTGTCAGGATTTCAGATGCATCTGCAGCTCATATTTCGAGATATTTGTCGCAGAGTCGCTGTCGCAAGGTGGTCAAGTGCTTCGAAGACATACCTAGCCCAGGAATGCTCCGTGTTGCTGTCTTCTAGTTCTTCCTGCTATAATCGGATAAGAGAGAAGCGGGCCAGCCATGCTTGGGACTCCAATCCCAAGCTGAGTACAAAGACGGGCTGCGAAAGGGTGGCTGGAAACAGTTGCAAGATAAGTGGTTGGGGCATGTTTCATGGGAGGCTGTGCATGTCCTCGTCTACTTCTGCCAGCACTGGTCTCTTCATGTACCCCATGCGGAAAACTGAGGCTCAGCCATCACCCGTCCGCATGAAGCAGGCAGGGGACACCGGTCCGACATGCATTTCAAATGCCCGGCATACCCAGCTTACGCCATTGCGGTTGCGGCAGTACAAAACCCCCCAACAGTAGCAGTCGTATGGTAAAGACACAGAGACCCACAGTTTTCCGAGCCCGCCCCCCTTGGATCTTGATTTTGAAGAAGAGCCCTAAACCCTAAACCCTAAACCCTAAACCCTAAACCCTCGAAGCCCAAGCTTCAACCCGAGAGCTACGGCTCTTCCATTCTGAGAAGCTCGAGCAATCCAGGAATCCTGAGCGTAAACCCGACACCCTTGATCCGAAGCCCTACACCCTAAGGCCTATACTTCTAAACCCTGTACCCTCTATGGCCTAAACCCTAAACCCTATATACCCTAAACCCTAAACCGCCACTTTGAAGCGACATGAGATCAGGGAGATCCTTGGAAATCCAGGTGCACACCGGGATTCTTGAGTTGGTGGCCACAGGGGCGCACGGCCACCTGGGCTTTGAAGCGTCTGGAGCCTGGCTTTGGGAGCGGGGGGTGACGAAGAAGAAGAAAAAGAAAATCGCTGACGAGACGGGTAATATAGGGGCTTAAGCAGTTACCAACACTATTCTTGGGGTCCTTTTCTAATTATAGTTCTATTCTAATGACTAGGGAGTCCTTTTTCTAATTATAGTTCTATTCTAATTACTAGGGCTCCGATATCATCCCTAAACCCTAAACCCTAAACCCTAAAATGAGGATCCTGGGCTCTTTCAGAGTTGTTGCCTTTCCTCGGTTTGGGCTGGTTTTTCGGCGAAAAGGTGAGCCGAGCAACGTGGGACGGTTGCCGATCTGCGAGAGTTCAGTATAGTTGAGTACAGTATAGTGTAGTGTAGTATAGCCAAGTACAGTATAGAAGTTACAGTATAGTCTAGTGTATTATCTTACTTTATTGTTTTGCAATGTCTGATCTTAGCTTATCATGTATTATACTGATCATATGTATGGATGCATGCATGTGTGTGTCTGTATATGTGTATGTATGTATGTATGTATGTATGTATGTATGTATGTATGTATGTATGTATGTATGCAAGTGCGTACGTAGGTATGTATGTGCGTACATAGGTATGTATGTATGTATGTATGTATGTATGTATGTATGTATGTACGTAGGTATGCATGTATGTACGTATGTATGTATGTATGTACGTATAATTATCTTCTATTCTATTTTAGTTTATCCTTTGTCGTTCTCTTATACATCGTTATACTAATCTTGATTATATGACGTTATTGTGTACTATACCATGTTATATTTTATTACATTACATTAGTATGTAACATTCTATTCTATGATATTATATTGTAGTATGTTATGTTTTATGTTATATCATGTTATGATATGTGATTATATCATAGTCTTAGTCTATTCTATTATAATATATGATGTTATATTATATTATTTTCTAGGATATTATGAGGTTTAAAATACTGTATTATAGTACTGTATTCTAGTACATTGTATCATAGTATACTACGGTATAGTATCGTATCGTAGAGTGTAGTAGAGTACGGGATAATGTATTATAGTAGTGCTCTCTATATCATCTCGTGTTGCATTATATCAGGTATAGAGCATTACAATGGATTAGATAAAAGATTACCTTATACTATACTGTATTCTACGATATAGTATTCGATTATAGTCTATCATATCAGAGTTCAGGGTCGATAGTTTAGGACGGCATCTCTGCCGGGCTTGTCATGCTCAGGATGCATTCCACGAAGTCGAATGCCATGGAAGTGGTGAAGGCCGCGATACATGTCCAGACATGAGGAGTACTTGCAGCGGCGATGATGCTGAATAATGCTGATGAACAGTGGTGATGTCGGCAGCAGCAGCGGCGGCGGCGGTGGCGGCAGCGGCAGCAGACACCCCCGACAACAATACAGTGTCTCTCTGAACCTCTATTGCCCGTGGCGAGTGCTGCTGGATGATGCTGACCCGGCGAGCCTGCTCGTGTATGCAGGAACTGCTGAGTGGTGTTGCAGTGTGACTTCCAAGTGCCAGGTTGAGGCTGGTACTTGGGCCCAGCGGATGCGAGTCAGGCGGCGAAACCGCTACACGCTGCGTCTATTCATGAGCTGCCTTTTCAGTTTACCGTTTGCAAGTGTTGGCTTCCGTGTTTCTCTCGGAGTGTTCAGCAGCCATCGGCCAAGCCTCAAGCAGAAGGCCACTCTAAACCCTAAACCCTAAACCCTAAACCCTCTGGCACCGCAAGAAGTTGGTGCCAGGTTGGGTGACCACCTACTCTCGTCCGGCCTCCCAGGATCACTGGAGATCCTTAAGGCCTTTTCAGATTTGAAGCAGTGCTTCAGACAATCCTGCATCAGACAGCAACTGCTTTGTCAGCGTATGGGGGTTTCCGAAAATAGGGGACCCTAATATAGTGCCCTAAATACTAGGATCCTTATTATAAGGACCCCAAAATAAGGTACCCTAATTTTTGGAAACTCCCATATGATGTCCGGACATCAGGGCATCCCCCTTTGAATCGAAGCACTTCTAAGGATTGACTCCGCGGCTGTGGCGTCCTTCACTGAAGAGGGGCTGCTGGAGGCCAGCAAGTTCTGGCATATGATTCTTCAAGTGGCATGGCCTTGACAACGGTTCCTTTAGAAGTTCGCTTCAGGGATCTATAGGGTTTCCTTTAAGGCCTCCCTTGGTCCCTTAAGGCATTGTGTTCAGCTCCGGACTTCGGTAAAATCCTAAGGGCCTCTGAAGGGTCTCCCACCAAGCAAGTCAGGCCATCCGCGGACGAACACGACCTGCGTCGGATCCTTATCAACGTTCATGGATACCGTACTAAACCCTAAACCCTAAACCCTAAACCCCTAAACCCCTAAACCCTAAACCCTAAACCCCTAAAACCTAAACCCTGCCGCGGGTCTTGGTTAGAGCTGACTCATACGAGCTGGTCCGAGGCGTCTTCGATTTCGCCGCTTAGGACTGCCTCTTGGTTTTTGTCCATCTGGTTCAGAATCCGAAACCCGAACCTTAAACCCTAAACCCTAAACCCTAAACCCAGAATCGAGACCAAGACCCCTGACTGAAGATGCAGAAAGCCGAGCCCCTGCAAGCCAGGACAAGATGGCTTGGACGAGGACAACAAGAAATTAGAAGAGCGAAGGTGGTAGAATCACAGAAGGGCATACCGACAGCCTTATAGCAGAATCATATAAGGATCATGTGATTCATACAGGGATGGTAAGGTTATACCATGGCATAAGTATGCTGGGGCTTGGGTATAATCATATTGGCGTTATAAGAGTGCATAAGACTGAATACAGCTCTGCCTCAGACTTGCTTGGTCATGATCCACTCGAGGACCAGCGTCGTTTGGAGGTCATCGCAACGGAGGCAAAACCCCACCTGTTTGGTACACAGCTCATATCGCCTCAGTGCTTGCACTTGGCAACGATTGAAACGGGGTATGTTATAGCATAGCCATATATAGGTATAGTATAGTATGTAGCAGGAAAATCATATCGGGGATCATGCCTAGTCAGATACCGGATGGTATATGGATGTAATTGATACGGTAATACCATCTTATGGTCAATTAGCGTTCAACCCCAAACCCTAAACCCGAGTCATGGTGGGATTTAACCCTAAACCCCATGCCCTGAAATAAACACGAAACCCTAAATCCTAAACCCTAAAACCCCATGCGCTTTAATAAAACACACTATACCGTAAATCCTAAATCCTAAACCCTAAACCCCATGCACTTTAATAAAAACACACTATACCCTAAATCCTAAATCCTAAACCCTAAACCCAAGGCACTTTAATAAAAACGCACTCTTCCCTAAATCCTAAACCCTAAACCCCGTGCACTTTAATAAAAACACGCAAAACCCTAAATCCTAAACCCTAAACCTCATGCACTTTCATAAAACACACACTAAACCCTAAATCCTAAATCCTAAACCCTAAACCCTGGTAGGGGCCAAAGAGGCCTAGTATACGCTCGCACCGCGCAGGGTGACGTGGACTTGGGCCTCCAGACTACTGGCGAGCCGCCTGGAGAGGTCTTCGTGTCCAAGGCCGCCCCTCTCATCTATAGGGTTTATGGGGGTTTAGGGTTTAAGGGTTTAGGGTTTAGGGTTTAGGGTTTAGGGTTTAGGGTTGGGTTTAGGGCTTCGGGTTTAGAGTTGAAGGTTGAAGGTTTAGGGTTTAGGGTGCTGAGTTTACAATAGGAACCCTAGATCCCAAGTCCTGAACTATTCCGGTCAGGTGCTTCCGGGCAGTTGGGCAGCCCAGCGAGGGCTGCAGGCCGCACGGAGATGGCAGGGTGGCTGCGGGGGTAGGAAGTTGTGGGTTTAGGGTTTAGGGTGCAGGGTTTAGTGTAGGGTTTAGGGTTTAGGGTTTAGGGTTTAGGGTTTAGGGTTGGCACAGGCAGACCTTGAGTCAGAGGTTTTTTGGTCACGTGCGAGCCTACCTGCACACTTGAAGGATCATGGGACTTAGTAAGTAAGGTTATAAGTCCCTTAATTGGGGTTATAAGTATAGTTACCTGAGTTATAACCCTACTTACTAAGTCCCTTTATTGGGGTTATAAGTCCCTTAATTGGGGGTTATAAGTATAGTTACCCTTAGTTATAAACCTACTTACTAAGTCCCATGATCCTTTAAGTAACCCTAAACCCTAAACTAAACCCTAAACCCTAAATTAAATTCCTTAACACGAACCCCAATTAAGGGACTCATAACCTTACTTACTAAGTCCCATGATCCTTTAAGTAACCCTAAGCCCTAAAC